TTCTGTCTCTGATTCTCAAGCCTCCCACTCTGGATTGAAGTGGAAAAGCACATCTTAGCACTGATGAAACACACTGCCAAACAGCAGGATGTTTGCATGGAGTCATGACTATGGGCAAATTCAGTGTATGTAGAGGCATTGCAAGTATGTGCACATTTAGAGGAAGGATATAACAGTGTCACCACAGAATGGCTCATGGAGATGCAGCAAAGGACTTTGGAAGTATCTGAAATTCATTTGGGTCCTCCCACATTACGTGAGTTATCAATTAACTAATTAAACCATTCTATTCCAGACCTTGAAAGGTCAGGTCCGGTAAAATGGAGGACAGACACTGAACAGCAGAAGATCCAAGGTAATAGCAGCATTATTTCCTTCATAATAAACAGCTTTATCAACTTTTTCGTCAGTCTCTCTCCTAGATAAATGTAGACAATGAAAAGTAAATCAAACATAGAATATTCAAATCAGTGCTTTAACTACATTATTAACGATTAATTTAAACAAACACCTATTCTGATGAAAGAAAATACCATGATTTTGAAAACCTGCCTTATCCTACTTGATTACTCCATTTAATAAAAAGTTGAATATACACTGTATAAAATCCATTTATCTTAATATTTTTACATGAGAGACACTCTTACATTACAGTGTAATAGGATGCTGCTGACCACACTTCAAGGAATGAAACAGTTACGCAGTAGTTTCAGTTAAAAATCAATTTTTACAACATAAAGGATTACGAAAACAGCTTGCATATCAAAGTAACTTTCACAGTACGCTGTTAACACAAGTACTAAAATGCTGGCCAGAAAAAAGTTTGTTGAAAATGCAGAAAGATTATTAATCTTCTGTTCTATTTAAAGCAGATGGATGTGGTGAAACTGGGAGGTAATAGGTGTAAATGTCAACACTTAGGAATGACTTTAAAAAAAAAGAAGTTTCTGCTAGAAGTGTCACTAGTTGTAGGAGATCCGCCAGCAGATTCACTTCAGAGGTCATGTCATTTTATCACTGCAGCATACAGAATGAATACTCTAGTGCAACAAGCAATATCAGTGTTTCTTCTTAAACTGTTTTGTTGGGTTTGCCCTTGGCTTTTTTTTTTTTCCTCCATATATGAGCAAGCTTCATAAGATGGCTCTTGACGATATAGCTAATATTTAAGAGGGAAAGGAAATTGTATTCTTAATGATGCTCCATCACAGAAATTTCCATTGAGTGCAAAGCAGACTAGGAAGTCAATCAAAGGTCAAGCCCCTGAGAGGTCAAGTTCCTTGAATGAACACAGTTCTGACATTTAATTGTTCTCAGGCAGAGCTCTGCAGATAGGTCAGCGGTGAATTTTATAGCTGACAACATCCACAGAAAGAAATCACTCCCAAGGCTGAGGTGGCTATGCACCGCTCAGCAACAAGATGAAAAAAATAAGTAACTGTGGAAAGCAAGACACTTTTGTCTCACCATTTAGAAATTTGTAAACAAAAAACCCCACTTCTATCACTAATGCATCTCACTCTCAAAAGTCACTGAAATGCACAATGAAAATAAACGAGATTGCACAACAAAAGAGATTCACAGAGATACTACAAGAGAATGAAGAAGTGCTTGAAATAATATTGATGGTAATAGCAACCTAAAAGTTCAACTTATTTCCAATAGCTGAATGACTAGAAATTATCTGCCCCTTCAAATCAGTATATTAAGGGACTGGACAAGGCACGTGGATTATAAAATTGCCACTCATGCCCATGATTGGTACTTAAACCTCATTCTTGACTCCAAAGCCCATAATACTTTATGACATTTCAAAGATGCCTAACAATCTTAAATGGGTAAATTAATGCATATCAGAACAGAATGCTCTTTGGAAAAAGTGGCATGCTGTTTAGTTGCAATTTACCAGTTTACCTTTAAAAAGAAAGAGATGAATATGACAGTGTGAGTTTTTTCTGAAGATGGAATTCCAACTCAACTATACAGAAGGTTATATAATTGCTAAGAAAACTTAGGGCAGTGAAAAAGCAGGAATCAATTACAGAGCATTATAACATCAATAATCATCTGTAAAATATGCAGAACCATGCAGGCACCTTCGCATACCATCCTCCTTCCATGTGGAAAGTGGAAAATAGAAAATAAGTTTTCTCTTTTCTCAAAGCCTGAAACAAAGTACTCATTCCATTCACTTGCTCCTGAGCAAGTAATTGACTTGTACTGCTCTTGTAGATTAAAAAAAAAAAAAAAAAAAAAGAGACAAGAAAATATCACATTGAGTAAATTAGCAACAGCCCTCAGAAAGTGCTAATGAAGAATCTCTTACTTCTTCAATTTTCATAATGACAGGATATATCACATTAATAATTCTGAATTTTGAGAACTCCCAACCCGCAGCCCTAGCCTGCATTCACAAGGTAATGTATTTGCATTCAGATTGCCACCTGTGTACCTTTATTACTTAGTGATCAAAGAAGGTCAAAAGTAATCAAGTATGCAAACCAGCTCCTAAGCACGACTATCTGAAATGTTTCCTTTCCGTTACACAATTGTAGAAAGAATATAATTTCCATCAGCGCACCACTCTAGCAGTCTTAAAAAGAGATACAAGCTTTCCATGCAAGACTGTAGCTGAAAACAGAAGAAAAATATAATGCAAAAAAAGATTTTGTTGTATTTTTCAGCAAAATATTATTTATAGCCATACGTAAGTGTTGTACCATCACACCAGTAAAATGAGTCCCTTGGTTGCTCTTGATGACTTGAGGTGTCCCGTAGGCAGCCATCAACTTGGTGAGTGCCTTGATGTCATATCCCTGGTTTGCTTTTGGTACTGGATAGGCCTGCAGTAGCCCACTTGCCATCCATGTACCAGGCATCTTCAGGAATGGGATATTTCCTATCTTGATTTCCCATCTTGAAAGGGACTCTTCTCTGATGGAGTGACCAATGTTTCTTGAGCTACATCGCTGCAATACATCACTGGACCTAGGATCTTCTTTCAGTGGTGATAAAGACAGACTACTACTTTGGCTGAGATAGGTGCCACCGTCTGTGGTTAGGCCATCCCCGTTTTAGGAAGCTGGGTCAGATCTCTCACCCACCCCTAAATCAGCAGGGTGGTCTTAACTACAACCTCCCATCTGGAGGCCTCAGTTACAGAGGAATGGGCATCCACTGTCACATTCTGATAATTCTGAAACTTCTGATTGTCCTTCAACTAACTCCGTGGAAGAGGACACGATCAGGCTGGCGACCAATTTCCACAAACTGAACTTCAGCTTGGATTAAGTCATTAAACACATAGCAATTGGGTAGATCAATATGACAGGAGGATCAGCACAATAGAAAGGTGCTATAAAGGAAGGAAAAAAAATTGCTTACCTGTATCAGAAGATTCCAGGTTTGCAGGGGAAAGCTCCAGGAAGGGATCTCCAGAAATAAATCTTTCCCAGTGGCAGTCAGCCCTTAAATAAGGTCTAAGAGAGTAAGAGAGGTGCAGCCAGCTTCCACCCTTTCTGATCATGCAGGTAAATTGCCTTCACCTGTGCTCCCAGGCTAACTGGGTCCTTTCCTCAGGTGCTCAATCAGTGGTTCAGGCCATGACTCAAAGGTTCTCATACACTTGGCTTTTTCTTTTTCTTTTTTTTTTTATTTTATTTTATTTTATTTTTTATTTTATTTTATTTTAACTTAACAGACAACAATGTGGAAAGGGATAGCATGAATTATTCTTGAATTACATCCTATTCACTGAGAGAAAAAACACAGCACAGAGAAACTCAGCAGCTAAGCAAAGAAAAATTCTTATCCAGTGCACATGTATTTGGACAACTTCTAGTTCAACAGCATGGATGTTCTCCATGGTTTGGACAGGTACGCCATTTGCTGAGCTAGCTGGATGGCCAGGCCCAGAGAGTGATGTTGAATGGAGTTCACCATCCTGTCCTCTCTAATAAATGTACTGATGACCTGGATGAGGGCATTGAATGCACCCTCAGTAAGTTTGCAGATGACATGAAGTTAGGATGAAATGTCGATCTGCCTGGCAGTAGGAAGACCCTACAGAAGGATCTGTGCAGGCTGAGTAGCTGGGCTGAGGCCAATTGAATGAGCTTTAACAAGACCAAGTGCCAGGTCCAGCATTTCAATTCTAAAAACCCTACCCGTTGCTGCAGGTTTGGGCCAGCATGGCTAGAAAAACGAATATGAGAGAAGAACCTGGGGGTGTTAGTAGACAGCTAGCCAAATACGAGTCAACAGTGTGACCAGGTGACCAAGAAGCCCAATAGCATCCTGGCTTGTATCAGATACAGTATAGTGAGCAGGATTAGGGAGGCAATCAACCCACCCACTGAGGAGGTGCTTAGTATTTACCTTTAAAACTACATTTTGGGTCCCTCACTACAGGAAAGACATCAAGGTCCTGGAGCATGTTCAAAGAAGGGCAAGAAAAAGCTGGTGAGGGATTTGGAGCACAAGTCTTATGAGGAACAGCTGAGGGAACTGGGATTGTTTAATTGAGAGAAGGGGAGGCTCAGGGGAGACCTTTTTGCTCCCTACAACTACCTGAATGGAGACTGTGGCAAGGTGGGGGTTGGCCTATTCTCCCATGTAAGTAGCAATATGATGGAAGGTAATGAACTTAAATTGAGCCAGGAAAGGTTCACATTAGATAGTAGGAATGATTTCTTCTCAGAAAGAGTGGTAATAGATTTAAATGTGCTGCCCAGGGAAGTGGTGGGTCACCATCCCTGGAGATTTTCAAGAAAATGGCAGATGTGGAACTTAAGGTCATGATTTAGTAGGCATAGCAGCGATGGGATGACAGTTGGACAAGATAATCTCAGTGTTCTTTTCCAATCTGAATGACTTTATTATATTTTTCTACATTAGCAATTACATGCAAACATACCATGAATTAAATTCCCAAATTAACCAATGTAGGCGTGGGCATGATTCCACAGAAAGAACTCATTTTGTCAATTTTGTTTGCAGAAGAGACTGAAATTCTGGGAAACAACAAATTCTCAGTTACCTATCCACACAAGATTACTTCATAATGTGCAAATGAATCAAAACAATATAGACTCCGACAGCTCAGAAGCAAGGGCAAAGAGCTTTAAAAGTATTTCAGTCTCAGGTGTATAAACAATCTGTTTGTTTTCTCTGTTATTGCAGGGAAGGATACAACTTCCTGTCTGAATGCCACACTAGCATGAAAATCATGTTTTGTTTGTGCCAGAACACTTCACGCTAAAGACTACATACATGAAATACAATGATCATACTTTACATGTGAAATAAATGCTCATGCAACCCAGGTGTTATAAAAGTAGACAGTAAAAAGGTACTGTTTTAATTAATTCATAGATATTGTTTATATATACATATATAAAACGTGTACATAAATTAAAAAAATATGTTTGCCATCTCAAAGGTAGTGTCACAACAACAAATGAACACATTTATTTTCTAGTGGAAGCTGAGAAAGTCTGAGGGAATTCTCCAACATAAATAGTCTCCCTGAATAAATATAACACTGAAAAGTAATTTTATGTCTCAGAGCTATGTGGAGAGAAATGAAGCTGTTGGCTGGGACCACCCTGAACATTTTTTCATTTTAGCTTCATCTGACAAATAAAAGGTACATTTAACTGAAGGAGGAATGAGCATCCATAATCAGGTAACTATGTCATACACCCCTTAAGGCTAACCACTTGCAAAACAGCAACTGGGCTTTCTGGAGGTGCTTTTTCTTCCCCTTTTTCTTTTTATACCATTCCTAGCAGATCATGAAATTTGATTCCAAGAGCAATACACACTGGAACTACTCTGGAGAACACAAGGTTTAAAACAGGAACAACCAGGTGAGGTTCTCTACTTGAATTCTGAGTATCTTCAAAGATGAAGACTGCACAAATAATCAGCTCTTTTGTCTAACCATCCTCAACATGAAACTTTTTCCTTATGTTAATTTGGATTTAACCTGCTTTATCATGGATATGATGCTTCTTGTCCTATCACTGTGCACCTACTAGAAGAGTTGAGTTTTGTCTTATTAAGATAAGCATCAGATAAACTAAGCATCAGATAATTTCAGACAGCAGTAAGATCCTCCCATGGTTTTATCCTCAGGCTAAACAAACCCAACTTTCAGCTGCTCCTTGCATACAACACATTCTAGTATCCCTGACATTATTTTCTCCAGAGTCATTCTTGTATATCAACGTGTTTCTTGTACTGGGGAGCCAGAATTAAACAGTATTCCAGGAGCAACTCGCACATGCCAAATAGAAGAGAATAATCACTTCCTTCAACCAGATTTTCATGTCCTTGCTCTTACAGCGTAGGGCAATAAATCCAAGTTTTTGTTAAAATGATACTGTTCGCATGAACTAAGGTTCATTGACAGAGAATTAGGTTTAAGAATAAGCTTTTTTCCTAAGACTGAGTGTCTTGCATGCATTTAGGCTGATGTACTTTTTCCACAGTTGGCATCCTTTACTGAGACACACTGATTTCATGCACTTAGCTCATCCTCTGGAACACTAGAATTATCTTCTGCAAAGTTTGAGGTCTCCAAACTGCACTCTTACACTTTGTTATCAAACTTGGCTTCCTTGTAGGTGTTTGTGTGAACATCTGGGCTACAACACTTACTCACACCTGAGCACATTGCCGCTCATCTTCATGGCAAAACAAGAAAGTTGTTCATTGCTCTACTGTCACACAAAATGGAAACACAAAAGGCCAACTGAACCTTTCAATCACACAGAGAAGAACTAGGATTTTCACCCATGGACATGGTAGATATGATAGAAGGCTAGGTAACTCCACACCATCTCATAAATCCTGGAATTTGCTGGTAGCCATCTGTGGGAAGACCAACTCTCAAATATTGTAAGATCACAGCAACTTGATTGGTACAGACTTGGTACTGTCACCTCACAGCCAGGATATAAAGTATGTAGCACTTGTTGGGTTTATGTTTGTCTTACTGTTTATTTTGTTGGGGTTTTTTAAATTTATTTTTCACATTCTATCATTTACTTCCCTTTTTCATTCTTTCTGCCCTTTGACAGATGTGCAGAAAGCAATATTTCTCACTCCTCCTCTGGCTCAAAAATACTATATTCCTTAATGCTAATAAGCTTCTGGCCACCAAGTCAAATCAAGCTACTGCATGGAGGGGGAAGAGTTGGAAGAAGCTATTTATATATATATATATTTATTTATATATATAACTTGGATATAAGCACACACCAAATTTGCTTCATTCACTTTGCAATGATATATATTGTACTGCAAATTTTATTTTAGATATTAAATACAAACCACAGAGTTTAATATCATAATGTCTGATATCTGATATACCAGCTAGATAGAATAACTAGACAGGAGTGCAACAATCAGAAGTCTGGTACCAAAACCAAATGCATAATTCTCCATTGCTTTTTTTCTGTGTCCATACAAACAACGAGAGTGAAACAATAGCACTGTGGTAGGACATATGACATTTTTTAACAGTATGTTAACATATTTTAACAATATGTCACATATCCGAAGGAGATTTTACTGAGATGTTCCAGTCTTCTTGAAAATTGAAATTGCAGCATCCAAATACAACTTCGTGACCAGAACTGAACTTCTATGAAGACCTTGCAGAATGATCCCAAGACATTTACCAGAATGATCTCTGGAACACATCAACCATTCAAAGACAGCAGAATGGCCACATGGTGCTGACTCCCTGTTCTTACTTCCTCTTCCAGTAATGCATCTTAAAAGGAAAAGTGTCACTTCATCAAATTCCCATTTTGCCTAAGTATCTAAGACAATGGACATTCCAGGAGAAAATTCAACCACACACAAGTGTTTTTATAAATGAATATACTGCATCTAAAAGTACCTATATATAATGTCAGGTGTTTCAGTATCTGCTTTATCTAACACCTTCCTACAGATAATCATACTTCAAGGAAGTTAAATACTAATAATCAGTATGGCTTTCTTGCTACTTTCAACTTCTATTAGCTTGCTTATCTATATCAATATGTATTTCTACTTCCAATAGGCAAGAAAATTTAATGAAATTACAGTAGTGTTTTTAAGGCAGTCATTTAGAGGTGCTGATTTAATAAAAAGAATCCATTTTGAGAACTGCAGCACTGAGAAGATAATGCAGAACATTTATTTCTGCAGACAATGCAGTACTGCCAGCCTGGCTCAGCCAGTAGCCCTTATGGAGTGAGGTACAGATTTATAGTAATAAGGCTGCACGTACAGGTTTTCTAGCAGAAGAACAAGAAAGAAAAGGAGGGAAACAAGGGAAATAGAATCACAGAATTGTAGGGGCTGGAAGGGACCTCCAGATACCACTGAGTCCAGCCTCCCTGCAAAGCAGGCTCTCTACAGCAGGCAAATAATAGGGAATCATCTGAGACATGGCGCTCCAGGCTGTTAAAACAGGAGAGCATTCTGAGTCCTAACCTACACAGAACTCTGTGGCAAAAGGCAGCAGAAAGAAGTCACAATTCATAGCACTTTGAACACGACTGGTTAAGAAGCTACAATTAAGATGAATCTTAGCATACTTACTCGTAAGACCAAGGAAATGCAACTGGATCCAGCAACTTCTGTCAGTTCTTAGTCTGCACACACTTGTAGGTACATCAGGCTCTTTCATACTTAGTCCTACTTCTGAAAGGGAAGCCTTTGAAAAAGCTGAATTCTTCTCTGACTTGCTGCTCTGAACATCATATTTTCTCCTGGAAATAGCTACAACACAGACCTAGGATATGAAAAAACAAGGCAATTTTAGGCATTCGGATACATTAAGCTTCATACAATATTAGAAACCCCACCACATAGCTCACTTGCTGATCACAGAAATGAAAAAATGGAGAGTTTGATTTGGCTTTGCTGGCTTTTTTGAAAAACATTCCTTGGTGAACCAAGAAAACAGACATTTCTGAAAAAATAAATACTTGCTTCATGGAGGTAGTGAACTTAAAAGAGATCAAACCAGAGCTTCACAGCTGCTGATTTTTTGTGCAGTCATTATTTATTCTTTACTGTAGAACTTCTATAATCAAGGTATAAGTCACATCAGCCAGGAAGAGTTAACAATTTGATTATCAGTCTTGCTTAAACAGCTGGACTATAACAAATCCTTCAAAAAGTAGGTGTTTCCATCATTTACTTACTCCTGACTTTAAGATGCGTTCTATTTGGCACATAAACACCAAGTCAAACGTGAAAGGTATTATATAACATATGAGGATCCTGCCTGCTTTAGCTCTCCAGTTATATACTGATTTTAGGAAAGCTAACTTGTAATGGCACAAGAGTAGTATAACCTTTCCTGTGGAAATCTCCACAGCTGTCCATCTGAACCTCCCTTAAAACTGCAGTGCTTACATGGTACAGTAGATTATAAGTGAAGAAAAAGAACTGGAGAATAACATACACAATTTTTTCTTGATAGCACATTACGTTTGAACGAAAGCCATTCATTGCAGAATAGTTACACAAATACACTTAATGAGTGCCTGCATAATATGTACAGTACTCTGCAAGAGCAAAATACCATTTTTATCCCTGCTGCTACATGAGTAGGACATGCATCATACTGTCATGGTTTTATGATTGATTACTGGTATTCCATCATGTAGTGCACTAGGAGTTAAAGAGTTAACACTCCAGGTCCAGGTACATGTCCCAGAAGAGAAGAACTACTGCACTCCGCAGAGGACTGTTTGCTGTTCTGCTGTCATTTCTACTCAAGGGAAACAAATAAAGGCTTTGGTAGGTCACCTGAAATTCCTTTTTGATTGTCTGGCTCATCTTGTTCCAACCGCACGTCTCGCCTCAGCATTACAGTAAGGCTTTGGCTTTCAGACACTCATTATATTTGATTTATTAGCTGCTATTATAATTATACTCCATTAGACCGTATTACAGTGTGTTGCATTTTGATATTCAGTAAATTAGTTTGTTTCTCCTCACATTGTTGCTGCTGTTTTGTTTCGGGGCGCATCTTCCCACCCTTTTCCCCCATTTCCCCTTTTTGGTGGCATGGATCTGTGAGTGCCTCCACCCCACTAGTCACAGAACTGGGCCAAGCTAGCCCATAAACAGAGTTTAAAGGGATAATACAGTATATAAATCAACTATTAGATCAAACCTTGGAATTCTAAGGAGAAACACACCACTCTTGTGCATTTGATTCAATCGAATACCTTCTACTTACCTTCTACTTACCTTACCGAATACCTTCTATTTACTGTTCTTCTTGGATACTCTGAGTCCACAGTCCTTTATAGAGTATTTAAAAAAAAAACCAAAAAAAACCACAGTCCCTACTCTGTCCTACTCAAATGATCCTCCATAAAAAAAAAAATAAATGTGATTTTCTCCTAAAAATTAATTCTTAACATAATGAAGTTATTATTATGCTTTCTATCCTTCTACATCCTGTCTGCTGAACAGTCAACTTAGTACCGTGTTTTATTAATGATACAACTGCTGTTACTACATTTTCATCCTTGTTGGTTGAATGGTTACAAGAATCAAATTGATCTGACAACAACTAAGTTGAGAAGTCAAAATTTCTATCTAGATTCACCAGGAATAATCACCAGATTATTGAATCAGAATTCAACTACTAAGTTTGCATTAAAACCACTCCGTATTTCTTCCACACAGTTACTGAAAACTACATCAAAAACCTGGAGTTCAATGTTTCAGTGAACCAACTGCATTTATAAAGATACTTCACACAGAAAGGAGATATTTTTAGATTCTGTCATCTTGTTAGCTTCTCTTTCTATTCTCCAAAGGTTGTAATTCAGCAACTGCAAGATTATTAAGAACGAAGTGTTCATAGACTAAAATCCACTAGAGTGTTTTTTAATGAATTTAAGGAAGGCTAACCAGACAAGCCAAAGGGGTCTGCAGCTCATCACTTACCAAGCTTTCACGTGCAAGTAGTTCTATTCTAACTAGGTACTATATTCACACCTAAGAAACACCTATTTACAGCAGACCACATGCTGATCTTTTTGTCTTCATATTTTGATTTGCATTGGAGGTTGAAAAAAAAAAAACAAAAAACCTTTCCTTTCCAAGGTGATCAGAAAAAACAAGTGAACAAAACTACAGACTGATGGGATGCTGTTTTAAATAGTGAGGAAATTGTAGCACACTACAAACTTAGCTTTTAAGTAAGATGGCATTAAGCCTTAATCTCAACTTCAAGGTCCTAAGAAAAGCTTAATATCAATAAAAAGGACCATTGGTCTCAGCATCCAAATAAAACAGGGAAGGTCTTCATTTTTGCCTGTGTCACCTGGTATCTCTTGAGCACAGGAAGGCTCAAGTAGGGATGCAGGAGGCTGCCAAGAGTTCAGTCACTCCAGGCTGCTGGAAGATGTAACAGGGACTTGCCATAGTGGCTATATTTTGGCTGGGAAGGCAAAAAAATAATAATAAAAAATAATAATAATAATAAAAAAACTCCCTATGCATTTGGCCCCATAAAGAAAGGATTTTTAATGCTTATAAGGGGACAATCTCACCTCATTCCACAACTACAAGATAAATAGTGCATCCTTAAGGAAAAGTGCACCCATACACTTGGCTTTATTGATAACTACACTGCTTTGTGTTCCACCTACAACACAGGGAGTCCATGGCTCACAGCTAAGGCACTCAAGTTGCAGACTCCAACCTAACATACTCTTCTTAATAATGTCCTCTGGTAATCTGAGTTCAGCCTGGTAGCAAGGCTATACAACTTCTTTAGCCACTTCAAAGAGAAGCTCTGTTCAAATTAAATGGAAACATGGGTCACACATCTCCTTTCTCTACCTACTGACCTGCCAACAAAGAGCACTGTCTGCTCCAGAGCTGTAAACAGCTAGCAGGATTCTTCACGAGACAGCTCAGAGAATATACTGACTTCATTAACACTTGTTCATAAATATCACGCCTCCACACCCCAGCAACAACCACGCACAAAAAAAGAAACCCAACACATTTCACCAGCAGAACATTAGCCTAGTGACACACTGGTAACAAACATTTTGACAAAGCTAATGGGCACAAAGCATAGGAAGCTGCAACTTAGCACTCGTGTAAGTTCTGTCTTGAAAATCCTGAGTGCATATTTATTTTTTCAGACTATATATTCCTTTAAGAATTACCTCAAGGTATTTACTAAAAAAAGATGTTAAAAATTACAGTGATATTCTTCATTTTAACTGAAACTTAAATATAGATGTAAAGGATTTGACACGTAATCCAAAATTAAGCAGAAATTACTTTCCTTCAAATTCTAGCAAGTTGTGATCTTGTACTCCGACTACTGAGTTACGGCAGCAAATGCACCATAGGTGCTATGTGCATGGCTACACGTGAAAAAGCAGGGCAAAAATGAAATGTCAAATGCTTTTTGTAATGCAGAACTTCAAACTGTTTTAAAAGATGACCTTTTCAATGACTGCCCTGCCTACTAGAAAGAAGGGCTTCACGTTTAATAAATTCTTCATGTCCCAAGGAAAAGCTGAGCTACAAGAAAGTTTTGCTCTTAAAAGGGTAACACCTGCCACAGTCAGGATTTTCAAGGGATTTTCTAGTTTTCTCTGGTCAGCTACACATGATAACCTATAATGTATAGAACAATAAATGCTAAATTAATCATAACTGCTGTGTAAGATAACCTACAATGTTTCTACTTCCTGAGCAAATTAGAGCAGATATTAGAGCACTTCTGCTCTAATATCCTTGTGGACCCAAACAAGGCAAACTTCAAGCCTCAGACACCAGGAAGTATCCTTTTAGAACCAGGATTAAATTTTGCTAACGGAGAAAGTGTGAAGTAAGCCGCCGTTATGCTTCAGATTATATAATATACAATAAAAATACAATGAAATACAATAAATACTTGAGGAATCGATGAAATTTTCTTTTTCCCTGTATACAACAATTCCTGAGATGCTCTAAATTTTTCAAAACAATGTAATTTAATCATCTGGGAACCTCTATCTACACAGCATTACATACATTAGGACAATTCCACATTCACTTCAAAGGAACTCTTCCTGGTTTACCCTACCTTCAGTCACCACCAGCACCAAACAATAACTGTGGAACTATATTTTTGTATACAAAGGAGCAGCTTAATAAAACAATCAATATTTATTTGAAAAAAAAAAAATAGTAATTTAAGTGGGGAAAAAAAAAAAAGTATAATTAAAAGCCCAGGATGGACTTGGCTGCCTGAAAACTTATGTGCACATAGTTCTTCTCCTTACAACATCTTAGCTCCCAAACATGCTCAAATTCTGATTCAGAGGATGATTACATCAATGTCAGTGGAGTGAAAATTATCTGAAGCCTGAACCATTTTGTCCTTTACTTTGGCTCCAGATTTTTCATCAGTATAACAACTCCTAAGTCCTCCTTATATGGCACATTCCCACTGCACTTCTTCCTAAGTAGCAAATTCAGTTCTTACAACTGAATAGGAAATAATCCAAAGTAATGAGTGAAAAATCTATGCAGGATAAACACATTTCTAAGCTGCACCTCTTTCTCCTTCTACTTGAATTTGGCAAGTCCTCCTGTCCTCTCACTAGACAAAGATGCTGATGTATTCAGGAAGGATACATCAGCAAATTAACTGGAGGATTTAGAGAAATTTACCAAAGGATATTCTGCAAAATAGCACTAACTGGAGCACTTCATCCTATAATTAAGCAGCCAGCCTTCTACGTTCATATTTCACTCCACTGAAAAGACTGAAGAGAGAAGAGGAATAAGAGAAAAAAGTTGGAGACTTACTAGAATTTAGGACACTCAAGTGAAATACAGAGCCATGCTTGAGAAGGAGGTCCTACAGTTATTTCACTGTTTGCAAAGGAAGATAGAATCACAGGATGGTTTGTGTTGAAAGCTCGTTCAGATCCCTCATTCCAACCCCCTGCTACAGGCAGGGACACCTCCCTCTGGACCAGGTTGCTCACAGCCTCATCCAGCCTGGCCTTAACACTTCCAGATAACCAACAGGAAAATATTCTCAACCAACCAAGATATTTTTCAAAATCCAGCTACCCCTTACAAAGTTATTATTCCTGTAAATACCAACATTGCCATAAGTAATTTCCTCTGCTGCTTATAAACTTTGAAGCCTAACTCAAGGCTGACAGAAGGCTTCAGAATGCTAGCTGCAGCAATGCTGCTTATTCACCTTCACATTGGCTTAAACAGGACCAGATTTCACCCCAAAATTACAGTTTTCATTTTTTTAAATTAAACATAGTAATTGTTACCACTGCAACTGTATTTAGAGAGCAAAACCACTGCAAGTCTTTAAATGAGTAGAAGCCTTAGGCTTCTTCTGAAGCCGTATTTCCCTACAAGCCTTTTCAAGACAAGGCGCTCAGCTCCCCCTGCTGCAGGATTTAGATTATTTCTCCTTTAGCAGGCTGAGGACTGCACAATACAAAGGGATTCATTTGCCTTTTAAACATTCATTCTTTAAACATCCTCTACTGACATGGAAGGCCAAAGTCCATGTAGACAAAGTGCAGGGGACACATCACCCCAACAGGTGAATTACCACTTGGTTGCCACATTTCACAACTGCACCCACCAGTGGCACTACCCAACCCTGGAAGACCAATCTTCATCTCAGAAGTCACTTACTGTACTTTTTCCCAGTTTGCCATGGTAATTACAAACACAGGCCAAAGTGCAGCAAGAGTAATCCATGAAAATTCACTGTGAGGGGGGAGAAAAATAAAGGTAGTCTAATAAGCGTAAGTATGCTGTCTAACTCTGTCATACTATGAAAATCCTTCCACTATACCAGTGTCAGCTGTATCACTTTAAAAATGGGAATTTTGCACCTACTGAGAAACAGGTTCTGTTAATACTGGAATACCTTCATTCAAAGCAAGTGTTTTTTAAACGAGTTTAGGGATTCCAAAACATATACATTATTACTGCTTCTTTTAGCATGCATTGGTAGAAATATTCATTAAATATTTCTAGCAAACAGCAAGAGCAGCAAAGATATAAAATGCTATTAAAAAATAAGCATCTACCAATAGAATATTCAATAGAATTCCTGGGGAAAAAAAAAAAAAATCTTACAAAGTCAAAAAAATAAAAATAGATAAAATAAAAAATAAAAAATAAAATAAAAAATAAAATAAAAATAAAATAAAAATAGAATAAAATAAAAAATAAATAAAAATAAAAAAAACAAAAAATAAAATAAACACAAATAAAAAATAAAATTAAAAAAAAAACAAATAAAAAATAAAACAAAAAAAAAAATAAAAAATAAAATAAAATAACACAGATCACTTGCCTGGGGTGACCTCTATATTTTCTTTTATCTTTATGAAGCTGGACTAGATTTATACCGGAGTAATTCAGAATAGAGCAGGGGCTGCCTGCCTGTCGATATGCTATAAATCTATATTTTAACGTGAGTCTGTTTTGGATACCTTTAGGATTGCTTATTTCTATTTTTTATTTTTAAGGAATCGCACGGTTTGGTATTACCTTTCCAAAAGTCCTCTGCTGCCCTCATGTGTTTCACAGCAAAAGCAGTTCTACACCACAAACACGAGCTCCTTAACCAGCAGGATAGACTGGAAGGAGCTGTTGGTATATCATTAAGTACTGGTTTTTTTGTTTTTCACTTCCTCTGGCACATAATAATTCCGATAACGCAATCTTACTCCAGAGAAAGTTTCCCATTGCTTTTTAACAGCAAAGCCACACCGGGGGATACACCAGGCAAGCACCGACTGAGCCATCAGGCACCTCCTCCAACATGAGCTACCAGCAAAAATAAGATACTTCTTCTTTGTTTGTTTGAAAGCCATTTTCCAGAAGAGAGCAAACTCGGGTACGTGAAACAGGAGCGGCGCCCCTCGTTGCCTCAGAGCTAGGAAATAAACACGACAGAACGCGCTCCCCACACCTGAGTGAGGAAAAGATGCGCAGAGCAGAGACCGAATTGACTCAGGACCAGCACGCGAGGGAAGAGACGGATCACGCCCATACAGCCACGCTCCTGCTTGCTCCTCACTGGCCCCTTCACATGCTAAGAGCTGCAAGCCGCGTTTCTGCTATCCCAACAAATAACTACGCTCTCTCTCCTAAAACTCTGCAGCCATCATCACCACCGCCAGCCCTCGCCCTTTCCTGCCTCGCCGCCAGCAGCTGCAGCGCCCGCCGCGCTGCCCCGCTCCTGCACAGCCATGCAAACGAGAAGCTCGACCCCGCCTCTCCCTGCAAGCAGCCGGCCGCGAACTGTGCCGACGTGGGGGTGTCTCTTGAGACCCCACCCGCTATGACTCGGCAGCCGGGGGCGGAGCGGGCAGGGAGCCGGCAGGGTGCGGGGCTCGGCCGGGCGGCCCGCGGTGATGATGGGGGTGCTGGCGTTGGGGTTGGCGTGCTGCCTGCTGCGAGCGGCCCACGCCGCGTTCCCGGTGCCCGCGGGCGCTGCTGGGCGTCCTCCGTGGAACGGAGGAGGACGGGAGGAAGAAGCGGCGGCGCTGCGGGTAGGTCGCTGCTGCCCTGCTGCCCTGCTGCCCTGCTGCCCTGCTGCCCAGTCCCTGCTGCACTGCTGCCCGCTCCTTGCTGCACTGCTGCCCTGCTCGCCTCTATGCCTGCGGGTTCCTTCCTTCCCTGCTTCCGCCGCCAGGGGGCAGCATGACGGCAGTGGCCGGCTCCCCCTTGGGTATTCCTTGTGCTGCGTACACGTTATATTAGTTCTGCGACACAAATCGAGACGAGGTTAAATCTTATCTAAGGATGAAATGTTTTCACGCATCTCCGTGTTGTGCTGCCCGACAAGGGGTGTCAGATGATTTTGGCACCACTTGTTGTCAGCTTATTTTGTTGGTCTTATATTGATTTTATACCATCTGTGCACTTTGTGTCTCTTTGTGTGCTTTCCGAAGCTAAAATTAGTCTAATCACTTTCAGACTGGCTTGATAAGAGCCCAGGGTGAGACTGAGCTGAATGTGAGCTCAGCAAGTTACCAAGGGGTTCTGGCTGTAAATTGTGCCAGGGAGGGACGTTCGGGGTGAATATTAGGAAAAACTACTTCTGATAAAGAGTGGGGAGGCAATGGCACAGGCTGCCAAGAGAGGGGGAGTCACCATCCCACGAGGTGTTGGTGGATGTGGCACTGACAGGCATGGTTAGTGAGCATGGTGGGGCTGGCTCGGTGGGTGGACTCGGTGGTCTTAGAAGTCTTTTCCAACTTCAGTGGTTCTCTGATTCTGTGGTCACGTTTGCTGTTGGTAACCTTCTGCTCTTACAGTTGTTTTTTTTTCACTGCTGCTAACTTAATAACAGCCACAGTACTTTTGTTTTCATTCAGGAAAGTGCGAAAAGAATTAGATTACTGAATTCACCATCAAATGATAATGGATCTGCTTTCTATGGGAAAAATCAGTTTTCTCACCTCTTTCCTGAAGAGTTCAAAGGTACAAAATTGTCTTCATGTTTCCCACATGGCATATTTCTGTTCTTTCTGAAACTGTAAGAATATTTAAATTAGTTCTGGACTATGACGACTGCTCTATGGATTTGAGAATCCTGTGCCATTTCATGGTTGTGACTACAGATCAAAGTTACCATTATGGTTTCTAGTAAAACGGGTTGGGTTTGTGTTGTTTATTTGTTTTCGTCATTTGTTTAAGCAGATTTATAAATGTTTGTGTTCCATGTTCAGCTATTTACTTAAGAAGCATACCTCACAAACTCCCCAGATACATAAAAGTGCCAAAGGGAAAGGAAAAACCTTTGCCAAAGAAGTTTGACTGGAGGGACAAGAAAGTCATTGCAGAAGTGAGAAATCAGCAGACAGTAAGTGGCGGTGATTTCCTTTTGCTGATTCTCAAGCACAGGTTAGAGACAGTTCTGGGAGGTACATCATAGAGCACAGTGAAGGACAGGGAAGGATCAGCACTGCCTCAAGACTCTGAGCTCTGTGTACTGATAACAGCCTTCTATGAAGAGTGGGCTTAGGTATAAAGCATCGCAGGTAAAAGTTGTTAATGGTACAGTGATTAATTGTGTATAATACATTTTGGGGGTAAAGTCTGAGGATATTTTGCATCGTGAGTGCTTTGTGATTTATTTATTTTTTTTCATTTTTATTTTTTCTGGAGACTGAAGCGTGTTCAGTACTTGACCTCTTGTCCTCTGTACTCCTGGTTACAGATCTGTTGGGAGTGCCCATGGCTAGTCAAGACCCATGCCTTTATCACCAAACTCCTCCATGGAGGTGCTTTCATGGCAGGAAAATAGAGCCCAATGGTTACATCCCAGATAGGCTACGATCGTCTGGTACACTTAACAGGATAAGAAGCACTCAGCTTTTGAACTCCCAGTATCTTTCCTTTGTGCAATGTAACCTAGGAATAAGTTCTGTGCTCTCTGTTTAAATCACCAAGGTTTAAAAAGTTGAGAGAACTAACTGTGATATCAATTAAGAATTTTTTTCTCTCCCATTTAATTTTGGTTTACTGCTGCTTAAGTTGTAATCTAATATATTTATATAAAATTCTTCAGACAACAGAAAACCACAGGCTGTCTCCTTAAGTGCATCCTTTTCAAAAGTGTAATAACTTGGTTAAAAATAATTTCTGCCCGAGTCTCGGTCTGTAATTAAGAAAATACATATCTAGCACTAGAAAGTGTCACTAGGCCTGTTTTAAAGGGCTGTTTTAATGTTAGCAAAAATGAGTCATGAAGGAATCATTAAAATACGACACCTTTAATTCATTTTTAATTTTCACAGAGTAGCACAGTAGGGATAAAAAACAATGCCATATTTGTAATGCCATAAAAATGAAGATAAAAAGTGATGTGATAAATGAAGGTCGTTGGAAAACTCTTCATACTTTCAGTTTTCCATATGGTGTTAGAAAAGCAAAGCTAACTTTTTTTTCGTCCTATCTTCTTCCAGTGTGGAGGCTGCTGGGCTTTCAGTGTTGTGGGTGGTATAGAGTCTGCCTATGCAATTAAAGGAAATAATCTGGAAGAACTCAGCGTGCAGCAGGTTATCGATTGCTCGTACAGTAATTATGGTTGCAGTGGTGGTTCCACAATAACTGCTTTGAGCTGGCTGAATCAGGTTTGAAACTTTCTATAAATTTTGAACCCTTTTTTTGAACTGTTTTTGTTTGCTTGTTTCGTTTTGTTTTTACAGGGGAAGAAATGATGGGGAAGAGGGAATATGTGCTTTACGGATCATCTGATTTTTTGTTTGTGTGTATATGGTTATTTATTTAACCTAGGATTGTTAATTCAAGCAGAACTGAAACTTGATTTGAATTTTACAATCTATATATGTTGCTTGTGAATGCAGTAAATCAGCCCACAAGGGATAAGAATCATACTCTTTGACCATTTAAATCAACTGAAGCAATAGCTGTACAGTACCACAGTAGAAGAGGCCATTTATGCAAGGCTCATTCTTTGGATTTGAGCATCCAGTTTTGACTGGACTGAATCAAGCACATTCATTCATTAATCTCTTTGCAGACCAAAGTCAAACTTGTGAGAGATTCAGAGTACACTTTTAAAGCTCAGACAGGACTGTGCCATTATTTCGCTCACTCGGATTTTGGAGTTTCAATAGCAGGATTTGCTGCATATGATTTCAGGTAACTGCTGTTGATTCTTTTTATTTGCTGTACTTTCACTATACTGTTCACTAACTGGAGTCAGCCAAAGGTTATGAGGTTAATTTCATCTGAATGTTTGAAAAACTAAGGGGCAATAACAATATACAGGTGTTTTCTAATTGAGAGGAGTGGGGCATAAGATGTACATGGTGCTTAGTATTGCCCACTTGACCAAGGCTTTTAACAGCGTTGTATCTTTGGACTGGCACCTAATCCATAGTTTGTGTGCCTCTTGTTGTAGTGAATAAAATGTGTATGTACTGATATATGTTACGTGATGTGTAAAACTCATAAGAAAAAGCTTAATTATTTGATTATTAAATTGTACTTCAGTAGATTACTGCCTCTCAAATTGCTTTACTATGCCAACTTTAACCTCTGTGTTATCACTCACTGCTTCCACAGTGGTCAGGAGGAGGAGATGATGAGAGTACTTGTTGACTGGGGACCTTTGGCAGTAACAGTAGATGCAGTTAGCTGGCAGGATTATCTTGGTGGGATCATACAGTATCACTGCTCCAGTGGAAAAGCAAATCATGCTGTACTTGTCACTGGTTTTGACAGAACAGGTATGTTTACATCAACTGAACTTCTAAGTTTTGTTTTCTCATCTTTGCAGCTTGCCTCCTGTGAGGCAGGATATTAAAATCCACAATTTGAGAATTGAGCTGGTGTCAGCTCAGAAATTCTTCTTTTCCGTGTTCCTTTGGTTTAGTGGGACTTGATGTCCCTGTAAAGACAAGAACATGGGTATCTATATCCTTACCCTAACATAGGGTATATCCAGTCTTACACTGATGTGTTAGTCCTCTCTATGAACAATAGGAGGCTTCTCTGTATAATGTCATCCAGTCAGCATCCTATGAGATATTAAAATGCCAACTAACTGTATAGAATGTTAGCATTTTTATACCTCTTAATGATCACATTGTCTCCAGCTGCTGAAAATGTATTTTCCAGGTAGCATCCCTTACTGGATTGTACAGAACTCTTGGGGCCGCACATGGGGAATAGATGGCTACGTTCGTGTGAAGATAGGCAGCAATGTCTGTGGTAAGTCCGAAAAACAGTGCGAGTGATAAAGGCAATGTGTTGTTCCACATAAGTAAAGTGATACAGTGGGATCCTCACAGAGGAAATACAAATCATTGCTACGTTTTGAATGAGGTTAGATGAGTTCAGATAGAACAACAGCGGTCGTTAGTTCAACCTAGCCACGTGGTTGATTGAAAAACATCACGCAAATGTTAAGATACATAAGCCATAATAATTGAAGTATGACAGTAGCTTACCAGGGAGAGGTAATGGCGTTGTCAAGTGCACAGTTGTGTATCATCAGCCTAAGCTAATGATGTTGCTATACGCAGCGTAAGTAAAACAACTGTGGATCTGGTCTGGTGGATGCACATATGTAAGTTCAGCAAATAGATATGGAAAGTGGATCTGCACATGCTTCAGAACTGTGCACCATGTCTTTGACTTTTTGTGCAAGGTATGGAGGTACATCCTTTTATTGCGAGCTCCGTCTCCTCCCTCTTCTGCTGTTTGCATTTTCTTGACACTTGAGTGGCTTTTATATTGTTAAATACTTGTTTTCTGCCAAGTTTCTGAATCTAGAGCTAAGACAGGTAAATCTGCCATGCAGGGATTCTGTGCTGAATCCTCAAGATCTTGAGTTTTGAATATGAACGCAGAGGAAGAAGAATAGGTTTCAACTACAAACAATGTCAGGCAGTGAAGAAATAAGAATTGCAGCTGGTTATTTTGGTGTTTTTTTCTGCCGCCACCCTATGCCAATACTTAGTGCATGGAAGAGAGAGGACATAATATGAATATGAGTTCTGATAACTTATTTGGTGACACGTCTCTGTTTCTAGTATTCATTATGTTTTTTTGTTTGTTGTTTGTTTCATTTATAGGAATAGCAGATACAGTTTCATCAGTATTTGTTTGATTCTGGCTAAAGACTAAGGATTATCATTTAGCATACACTGTGTATGAAGATTTTACTTCAAAGCAACATTTCCTAAAATAAGAACAGACTGCACGAAGAGTTCCTGCTTTTTAAGCATGACAGGAAGTGGTCGGCTGGAGTTTTTAAGTATGTTTTTATTTGGCACGTGTGTTATGTATCAGATCTCCCATGGAATGAGAAGTCTTCAAATCAACCACAGAGCGTGCAGAGGAAGTTGCAAAGAGAAATTGAAACTGCTAAGGTGAACTTAGGTACCAATTACTAAAAAGTACATTCCTTTAAAAATTCTTTTGAGAAAAAAAGTGATAGCAAATAAGAAATTTGAATCCACTAATCAGTGGTATGATGGAGTATAATCAAAATGCTTTAAGCATCAGAAACACAACGGTTCTCTGCTTTTAATTAGGAGAGGAGGGTGCTAGGAGAGAACACTTATGTTTTGCTACCTGTTTTGTCTTTTCTAGCATCTCTGGTTGACACCTCCTTTTTGTGAAATCCTACATTTTTCTCAAAAGCTAGATGAACAGAGGAGTGAAATAGCCATGAAGCAATCTCCAGAGCAGCCAGGGTCTCTGTAATACTATAGTCCTTCTATTTCAGTCTTTCTCCTTTTGTTGGGTAGATAAGACTTCAGAGATTTTTGAAGTAGGAAAGTGTATTTTGAAAAGGGCCTCAAATATGGTAGTCTTCTGAATTGATTTGTTAAAGGGGTAGGAGAGCAAGAAGAAAACCTTATTTAGATGAACCAAGGCCATTCTAGTGGCTTATCATCATCTCTGCCCTGCCAGGACAGAAATGTTTGCAACCCAACCATTCTGTGCTTTTGGTAGCTCTCAGTTCCACACTCCTCTTTTCTCTACTTCACAGCTTACACTGGAACAGCTGTGAAACAAGTGAAAAAATTATCTATCATAAAAAAAAAAAGCCTGGCTGTAGATAGATGTAAAGTCTTTGCCACCTTTAGGAAGTTAGGAATTACATCATATTCCAAGTAGAGCAGATTTCCCTACAGAAATATTAAACTCATGTAGGAGAGATTTGCTGGGAATCATAAGGTGGTTCCAGCTTTGCTGATTTGTGTAACTACAGTTGGAGGCAAATGTAACTAGAACTGACAACAAGCATTTCTAAGATGCTCTGACTCTGTCATCTGGAATGCTTTACCCTTGTCCTTTATTGAGCACTGTTACAAAAAGCTTTGAAGCAATTCTATAACTTTTGCACTTGCTGTACCCTGCTAATGATTAGTGTAATGTTTTTATAACAGATGCCATGAATGTTCATCATTGTCTTGTATTGTCACCTTAGTTCTCTTTCTAAGAATCATTATTTTATGTGGGGAAAAAAAAAACCTAAGTGCTAAATGTCCAGTTCTGTTCCCATCTCTAACAGGCTTAAACTACCGAATAACAAAAGGGGAAGCATTTTGTGTAATATGACCGTACCTTAGCAGATTACAGACAACAAACAGCACACTTTCCTGATGGGACGGGATAAGAACAGCTAAACTTCTCAATTGGCATCAGAGCAATGTGTTTTTATAGCAGTACCAAACATTGAAGGTCCAGCTATGCTTCTGATGTGGTACAACCAAGCCTGACTAGAGCACAAAGATACAGAACTCCTCACCAGAAATTAAGGCCTGCAGAAAACGTGTTTTCCAGAGAAGCATTTAGCAACAGTGCATCTAATGAGAAGATGACACGGCTTTATCCTACCCTGTGGTCAAAGTTACCTCACTTTTATGATGCAACAATTTTATCCTCGTTTCAATGATATTTTGATTAAAAAAAATACTCTAAACAGCTGTCATATTGTTGTGCGAATGTTATGCTTGTTTTAGAAGAAGGCAACAAAAGAGTAACTTGAATACTGCTTTATTTGAAGCGTGAAGTAGGCATTTATCACTACTATTCTTAACAGTATTTCTAATGAAGGCCTTTATATTCTTTTGTAAGAAAATTCCAGAGGCTTGGGTTTCCGCAGATTCAGGATATTTGTTCAAAATCCAGCTTTTAAAGATCTTAACCTGAAATTTCTTTTGGAACTCTACAGCTCTCTATCATCTTAAGCTGATGAGAATAATTACATCTTCAACTCAAAGTAAATTACTAACAGCCATTAGGTAAACTGACACATAGAAATATATGTGCATATAAGATGTGATGATGATAATCTGTATAATTTTTTCCTGTCTCCAAGTATAGATTTTTAGATAAAAACATTCAATTTAGCTAGCCATTGGTTTGAATTGGATTTTTTTCTTTAATAGAGCCTGAATCAGTGCAAGATTATTTTCTCTACAGACAATTAAATTTATTCAATAAGTCAAGTGGAATATTCAGCTAGTTCTGTCATACATAAATAAATATTTACACACCCACGCTGATGAGAACAGTTGCTATTGTTCAGGAATAGCATCAGGAATAGTTCAGGGTGAATGTTCTGAAGTTCTTCGCAGCAACCAGTCTAGATAGTTCAGTCAGAGTCATCACTGCTAAAATAGGAGCTGTCACAGTATTCTGCTGTATAAAGGAATTTATGGATAGTTGGATTCATCTTTGGTATCCAGTGTCTTGGCACTAGAAACGTTGAAAGATTGAACAAATCCACAAACACCTTGTACCTGTCACTGAAAAAGACAATTGGAACGATTGATGTTGCTGTGCATGCCAGCGGAAGGGCCACAATTTTGAAATCCTCAGGTACCATACCCTCACATATTTAATAATGTTTCTGCACTAACCATTCTTCTCCTTAGTATTCCAGAGTTTAAGTTCAGTTCAAGGTTCAGTCCTAACTGTCTCTATGGCACAGCAGATAAGATTTAAAGGAGCTACTGCTGCATTTTTCTGCTGAAATGCTCAAAATTTTGTCTAAGTTCTGACCGTTCAGGGAGTTCTGTGCTCAGTTCAAAACCATCCACTAAAAAAAGAAAAGACAGTTCCTCCGTTCTTTTAAATTCCTTCTCTGCTTCATCCAACAGAAGATGTTCCTGATTTTCACCTGCACAGCCAGAGGGTATTAACTAAGTTTATGTATCTTAGTTTATACAGTTAGAGGTCACACTAAGAAATAAAGAAACTCAATTGCACAGCATGTGGGACTAACTTTCGTCCTGCATTGCGTATTAACTTGGGCTGGAAAGCACACAAGGTAAACAGTATTAATGCTGCATTATTTCCTATCACAGTAATGTCTAATCTCTTGACTGAGAATTGTAAATGCACTTTGCATGAGTGATCAAAGCCCTTTGCCACAAAAGACTTAGAATTCACATGCATCAACCTGATAAGTAAATGTACAACTTGGATGGGAAATGCTCAGCATAGTCCCAAAAGAGGAATGATGGCTCTAACTTTTAGTGAGCTGTCTGAAATCTATCTCCCAGCAGTACGACATCCATGAACAACATCAAGGTAGGTAAAAGGCATTATTCTTACCTCACTGTTGAGCGCAAGTACTGGTAGCCTGATGATCCTCCTGTGCCAGCCTTACTGCCAATCATTCTGTGCACCATGCAGACATGGTTATCTAAACAGTGCATGCAAAAAGGCATGGCACATAGCCAGCGTTAAAAAATACACAAAGGGTCACACCAAGGTGAATACTGCATTATCAGAGGCTACAGAGAGATGAGCTGCTAGATCTTCAGCAAGGTAGGAGTTAAGTATGCCACTCAAGTCAGCTAACATAAAATGATTGTTAATACAGAATTAAGGCATCAATTTGTAGTTATCTAAAGGTAGGTAGGTAGGGAAAGGTAGGTAGGGAAAGGTAGGTAGGTAGATAGGGAAAGAGCAGAAGGAATATTTCCATGTGAACAGTCATCACGATGAGGTTTTGGGAAAACATATTGCTATCCCTAAAAATCTTTCGCTTAGCTTAAAACATGTCATGAAAGTGATAGCTTTACCTATATATCTACTGATCACAGAGGAAGCTGCTCACCTTTCCTCTTGGCCAAAGTACAAAAAAAGTTATTTTTAAAGGACAAACTCAGAAGCTCAATGCTAAAACTCTAGGTATGAGTCTCAGAATGTGAAATAGAACAGTTTACTTGAATCAAAAAGAGTATCTCAATAAAAGAGTGCAACTTACATCTCCATTTTGTCATGAGTACGTCAATATCCATAAGAGAGGTGAGAAGCTGAAATGGAACCTGAAAGCGGGGCTCCTCTCTTGGAAAATGAAAGAGAGAACAGTAAGACCTCTCATGATGAGCTATATATTTCTAACTATCACTTCAGCAACAAAAGACACTCAACATGTGTTTTTTCCCAAGCTGGTATCGAAATACCAGTAGATATTCTAACTTAATTGGCACTTTAGCCAATTAAGTTTTAATCTGTCTTTTTCAATTCTTGGTTGGAAAATGCTTTAAAACTTTCTAGGACACTTTGGATAACAGTTTGCTTCCACCTTCCCAGCTGCCAACAAGCACTGAAAGTACTTTGATACGTCTTATAACATTACCTGTAGAAGTAGATCATTAGGGCACCCTTCAGAGCTTTATAAGACAGTCTTCTTTCTCCTGCAAAATACAGATATCTTTAGCTTGTTGCTGGTTATCCTGAAAATGTAGTGCTATTGTGTGATTATTCTGTATATTTATCATATTTAAAAATTTGAATATGTATATTAATATACTCTACCTTTACTAAGCAGGTGTTCATGCCGTTTTTCATCAAATAATGAAAGTAATATATCCTTCTGCTTTTGAAATTCGGATAACAAGTCCTCTTTTTCTTCTGATTCTGGTTTGGCCTTTGATATTTAAATCAAAAAGAAGGTTGGTTTTGTTTTGTTTTTTAGAATTCAGTAGGGAAAATCAGGCTTTTGAATGACCCATGATTTAACCTTGTCACGGAGTTGACAAACCTCTATTTTCATCTAAACACTCTGTAAGTTTACACTTTAAGTGTAAGAACTGTATTGTCAAATAAGGTGGGCAAGTCACTGAGTCACTGTTCTTTAAAAAAAAGAAAGAAGAAAAAAAAAAGAATTACCAGAAATTGTGCATTTAAATACAACACAATTCATATGAATAGATGTTCAAACAAACTAACATCACTTTTCTTAGAGGCTTCAGAACTAAGCTAATCTTAATTAATTTGAAGTCTAATTATTTTATTTCTTAGTTTTCAAGGCAGAAACAGGACATTTTGCACAGCTATGGGTTAGAAAACTTAGCTAGAAAAGCTGGATAAATCAGAAAGCTGTAAGAATATTCTCAGGAACTTAATATATTCTTATGTTATACTGTTTCTTCCGTTTAAAAATGTCCTTGTTATACCTACAGGCTTTACAGCACTTGGGGATATTTTTCTTGCTTCTTTCCCAGTGTGATTCAAATGGTCACAGAGCAGCTAAGTGCTGTGTACTGTGAAGTAGTAAAGGTCAGTATACAGTGACACTCCTTACTTGTAGGCCCAAACTTTGTGGCGTTTTACTCTGAACTTCAGATGCAAGCATTCAAGGTGACAGTTTCAGTAAGATTAATTTTCTTCCTGTGATACTTTCTCTTTTCTTTTGTGAAAAAAATAATTCACATAGCACATGCTTGAGGTGTTCCTAGATGTCGAATTATAGACTTACTGAGATTTCCTGGTGATTTTTATGCTTCTTGCAAAGAAGCCAAAGATTAAATGAAGTGAGAAACCAGGAGTGGGCCAAAATGCCAATTAAAAGAACATAATTTCTAGCTGTCTCTGCATATAGTTGGATCAACAGAACATACCTGTACTATGGCAAATTCCTCTTCCAGTCCTTTTAAAATATTCACTTCAAATTGGCCCCAGAAATCAAATCCTTCTGCCTCAAGTCCTGGAGTTCTTTCCAGCCATGCCTTTAACAATAATAACGTGTTCAACTATTCATAATGAAAACACGATACTCTAGAATTACAATTTATAGCAATATAAATTACACTGCTATAGTTCTGGTTTATTACTCATGCAGGTGCGAATTACTGGAGTAAGGATGTCCACATGGAAGATTTGTGCCTGTATAATGATGCCATGCAAACACACACATAGGTTACAAGTTAAATTATCAGTTAGAAGATAAATGCTCTCATGTTAAAACTCATTCCCTTGTAGACTAATGAAACAATGTTCTTCCACATATACAGAATAAACTAAGATAAATGTCAGAAAAATATAGAACCATCTGCTAGAATAGCCAGTTTTTATCTGATCAGCATGAATACTGTTCACACCATCTGACATTAGCTTACATCAGAATGTGTGATGTAGATGAAAGATGAAAATGTACATAGCAGTCAGCAGCCTCTTTGATTTCCTTTTAATAATGGTAATGAAATAAGGAGAAAGAAAGACAAAATCTGCATGGTCAAACTCCTTTTAAAGATAATTTTATTCAGCTCCTTCTTATCCAAAGACGACCAGGAAGAGAAGGAAATCTACAAAGATTTCTTACACAGTCTGTAGCGGATGTCATCGAATGAAAGCATGGAGAATAATTTTGTCATAGAGACATAGTTGTGTTTATTGAGTTTTATTTTACATTGTTCTTTAGAAGTTAAGTTTGGATGTGAAAAGGACAAGGGAGTTAAAGAAACTGCCATGCTTGAGCAATGCAGTTTTCAGTCAAGGACGTTAAATCAAGGTAAGTGAGAAAGAAACACTTGTTGACCTTTTTTCATTTTCATTTTGGGTTGGCATTTTTTGTTTTCTGTTTTTTATGGCCTAACACTCCTCACCAACATTGGAATATTTTTAAATTTTTCTTCTATAAAGGTTTGTGGTTATGAAAAACAATGCAAATGACCCGATACATTAATATTTTTAGACAACTCGGATTTCTGCAATGTCATTTACTATTTACTACGCTAAGTTATGTTTTTCAGACAAGAGTAACAGCTGGGAAAAAAATAATCAGTTGGTTTCATAATGGCCAACTCTTTCATACCAATTTTGATAAGAATTCAAAATGTGATTTACTTGAAACCTGTCAGCATTCTTGCTTCTCTCAAGGAAAAAGGATTATCACTTATAACAGCGAAGGACATTCTCAAGGGAAAGGGTAAAACATTTAAGCAAGGTCTCAGCCAAATATTATTACCTCCACAAGTTGCAGAAGCGTTGGTTCTTGCTCTGATTTCAGCAGTAGTTCATAATCCTCTCCCTTGAAGTTATCACGATAATGCCTTCTGTTATAGGGGACCCTCAGGCTTTGGGGAACTCCGATCTTGTTCTCTAGCAAACGAAATTGCAGGCTCTGAAAACCTGAGGCCGGGCTTAAGTAGTCTCTTTGGGAACAGAAGAGAAAAACATAAAAAAAATGCAGATATTACTTTACCACCATGGAGTTCTCTGGT